GTTTCCGCGGAAAAGGCCTCGCTCGGCGCTCCTGCAGAACTGGCAGCGAGCGTGCAAGCGTGCACCAGGCCACACGCCCCCCCCAGTGGCACTGAGAGCGGGCTTGGGCCTGGTGCAGTCGTGCGATCCCTATTGTGTGGGCTTCAGCCAGCTGGAGTGAGGTCATCCTCCCCCTGCCTCCCCCTGTGTTGAAGACACTGGCTTCTGCTGAAGCCCAGGTGACTCAGATAGTGTACGAATGTGTGATATTCACCCTATTTGCACTTATGTACATAAATAATGAAAGAAATATTCAGAACTTATTTTGAATATTGAAAAAAACAGGACTGTATTGTTGTTAATACAGGCAAAGAGTTTGTAAAAGAGATAGATGCTACTATGGCTTTTGAGGGTTTTGTTGTTTTTTTTTCCTTTGCTATAGTCCTTATCTCAAAGCATGACATTGCTTTGCTGTTAAAATTAAAAAAAAAAAATCTTAATAAATAGCTTTGTAGTTTGCCATAGCTTAAAAATGTGACTTACAGGTCCATTCACACAGAGTCCTACTGTCACTGATGCTCGGAACTGTCCCTCTTTAAATTTATCTGGGTCCTTTTCTTTAGATTTTCCAAGGAAAGGAACTTGAAGGTGTCTCTGCCCAAAACCTTGAGTCTCCTCCTTTACTCGTCGTGAAAGGGAGAGGTAGGGTGTCAGCAACCTGCTCATAACTGAGGCCAGCCTCAGTCAAAATCAGGCTGCTCCATTTTCCTCAGAATTGGGTGGGTGTCTGTACTGTATGAAGGTCCTGCTGTCACCGCAAACCACGTTGTTTAAAAATCTAATCGGGTTTTCCCTAGGAAAACGATATGCTAATTTTATTACTGCAAAAAAAAACCAAACCTGAGATCATGCTTGGTGGTACTACATTAGAAAATTGTAATGCACACATACGTGGGAGGGAGACCAACTCTGGACACGCTGCTTGTGAGATCCCTGGGCAGTGTGTTCAGTGTGCATCGCGCGACATTGGCCTGAGGCCATTCCAGGCCCCCGTACGCAGATGTATTTCAAAAGTGCCACTGTTGACACCCATGGCAGCGAGTCTTAAGCTTTAATTGGGGGAAAAAAACGTGGTTTTCCGCAACGCGGACATAATTGCGCTTCATCATGGTAGTTTAGGGTGAGGTTCTCCTTTTCTTCGCGGTGTGATCGTGCATTTTCTAAAACAGACCCTGAAAACGAAGCTCGTTTTAACAGTTCATGGGGAAAAGTGGAGAACGGGGTGGAACTGGGCTCTGAACCTTTTAAGAAAACCTTTTTTTTTCGTCTTACTTTGTTTTGGATTAAAGGCTGGTGTTTGATCGATAAAGTAGCAGCAAGAAAGTAAACCAGAAGCCGAGATGGCCATTTTGGTCATAGTACGACTTATTGTAGGTGCACCATTTTGGGGGGAAAATGAGGTGAAAGAAAATCGATTTGAACAATTTGATATGACTTCTGAAAAAGTAGTGGCCCTTGCCATGATCTCACAAGCACGGGTAAAGGTAATTCCTGGCCTTGATTGTGGTGCATTTCAGCCCAAGCGGCCTCCATACAGGAGGGGGACCCACTTCCTCCACTGAAGTGCTGCCCCCAGGGGGGTGATGCATGGTGAGGTGGAGAAGTGAGAAGCTTCTGACTGTATTAAAGGGGATATTTAGGAACTCCAGACTGTACAAGCCAAGGGAGGTCTGTAACCAGGATTAACACCCCCACAGGACCTTAATAACCAAGTGGTCCATTTAATGTCAGCACCTTCTTCAACACGGCGATCCCACTCACCGTACTATGGCATGGGTTTGGAAATTCTCAGCTAGAGGGAAGAGCGCCACCTACTGGTCTGCTCCATTAGAACGTCTCGGAGTGGGACCCCAGAGGCCTTATGCCAGACCCTTGCCATGTCTCGTCTTCACTGAGCATTGGGTAGTGCCTTTTGAACCCCCTTGCAGGTGGTGTGGAATTAAAAAAAAATCTACGCTAACAATCTTTACCAGCATCAGTGTGCAGTAGAGAACTCTTATACGAGTATTCAGGCAGTGAACTCATTTATTTATTTTCCTTTTTTTTTTTAAAAACCATAGTTTTTGTGCTTTCCGGTCAAAACAACAACAAAATCAACCTGAACACAGTAATTTTTTAGTCCTTATAAATTGGAAACAAAACACACACATACAGAAATAAAACCCAATCCAGGAGACAGGCTCTGTTTGTGCGATATTGTACATTTGATGCTATTTGATAGTGTTGGAAGCCAATAATTTTGTTGCCATGGCGCTTGTGTTCTATCAGAGGAGGAGAGGAGTCTTCTTGGGTTGCTAGGGGAGAGACCCCTGGACCCCAGCTTTTGGTTCACAGCCTTCATACAGTCCAAGATTGTAGACTAGCAGAGGCAAGCACTACATGTATGAGTGGACAGCTGCGTGAGGAATGAAAAAGAGGGACAGTGCATTACACTCTCCTCACATAGATGCATGCGCACAGCAAAAATGCAAACTTAGCACTTTTCTCCCACTGTGGCTGTTCTGTATGTTAATACTGTATGGAGAAGATGAATCCAGTAAATCCTCGTGTGCCTAAAACAATTCACTGCAGCGTGAATAACTCAGTACTGTGCCTCTGTTTGTCTAGTGCAAATACTTACACCAGTGGAAGTCGAAGGGGGTCCTTGCAAATTGCTGGGCCCTACAAGCCGCCATCCCTATCCAGGATGCCAGTCAGATGTAATGAAAATCGCCCATGCCAGGCGAGAGAGAGAGAGAGAGCACATCGCTAGAAAATGTTTTTAGCAGAAAGTCTGTTTGCCCGGAGTCGCGCGACTCAGCAGGGCTTCCCTGATGAGCGGCCAAGTGGTCAAGTGTGACTGGTAAGGCAAGTCAAGGACAGTTAGGATGACAATTACACTGTATTCTATAGAGAAATAGCTGCTGGTATGGGTAGTTATAAACACAGCCCTGGTGCCCTTCCTGGCTTGCTGCTTATCATACAGCAAGAAGAATGTCCTCATTGTCTCAAAGCCATATCTGACCAAGACCCCTCTCCTCCACTGCAGACAGCAAGAGAACTAAATGCTTTTGAGTTTTTTCTCTACTCTTTCTCTGTTATTAGCTGTAGTGCTTGTATGTGCTTTAGAATCGTGCTTCATGCTAATCTTTTCAGTATATATAAATATAAATATATATAAATATATATATTACTTCTGTTATTTTTTGACCTTTTAATAAAGCACTAAAGTACAACTGTTGTTCAGAGTCATTTTTCTTTGTCGTTTGCTCTCTGTCTGTCTAGGATATTTGCTTCATTCCCCACCAGTGTGTGTCTCTCGGGACGTCCTGATAATGTCTACTTTCCCCCGACCCCGTCCAGCATTCGGTCTGGTGCGGCTGTAAACAATTGACATCCTTTTTACGACGAGGCAGTTTTTTTTTTTTTAAAAAGGAAAACCATCCCCCTTTGACTGCTTGAGGCTGCCGCCGTTTCTATGGGGTTTTCCCTCTCCCCTCCACACGCTGGGAATGTGTGTTCAAGGGTGCTCTTTTCCGTAGCTCCTCTTTGGACACATTGACGTGTGCAATGAAGAAGACTCCCGTTGAAACGTACTTACTGTATTGCCAGAAGAGGCTGACCTGCACATCGCAGGGGGGATGGCACTCAGTGGTGTACAGAAGCCCATGTGCCGTAAACTGTGGTGACACCGTCACCTTTAGTTATGCCATTCTGAATTTCTCCAGTTCATGGCGGCCCAAGGCTGTTTGTAACACACTGTCTGATGAGCATTAATGTGCAAGGGCTCTGGGTGGACGCGGGGCGCTGGGGTGTCTCTGCAAGGACCTCAGTGGTTTTGCGACCAGTTTTAGGGAACACGTCTAAAACGAAGAAGACGGCGCCTCGGACTGGGTCAGACCCGAGTGAGACCGACAACGAGGATGTATTTACAATCTGAGGTGGACAGAGGGAAGGAAGTGACTGGACACGGTCGGGAAGTGAGTCAGCCACACGTTTCGACACTATATGACCCCCCACCACCCCACCAGTCCTCTTTTATTTCTTCCTCTTCTCTTGAGAGGTTTTCTTTATCACGGAAGAAAAAGATTAGAATATGCCAAGAGAGCACAGGTTAAAAATAAACTCCCACATTACAATAGTCCCATTTTATCCAGGGCAGATCCAGTAAACCGGAAGGCTGGTATTTTTACGAGTCTTTGATCAGTGGATAAAAATTCAGCTTATGTGTGTTATAAACTATGATGTTTTTGATGTGATTTAAGATTTCATAAGGGTTTTTTTTCATTGCACACTTTTTAAATGTTATGCCTGTTATGTAAGTTCTTGGTACAGCTAGGAGAGTTCCATTCTCTTATGATATCCAGTTTCTAGAGGTGTGTTTTTAAAAATATTTCCTGTGATTGTTATGGAGGTTAAAATTTATCTCCTTTTTGCCGCAATTTATTTTATGGTAATTACTATTACTTAGTTATTTGTATATAGTAGGTACATCATTGCTGTATCTGGGCCAAATTGGCTGCCATTAATTCAATCCAGATACAACAGCATTATCTGCAGCAGGGACTTGAACCCAGAACCTGACAGTCATGATTACAGACTTAACTACTACCCTATGCCACCTCTGTTTATTGTATGAGTCCAATAATTTGAGAATTGACCAGTTAGAAATGCTATCACTTTCTATTCTTAGTGGCTAATAGGGATCAGGTCTGTTAATATTTAAGAGGAGCGTAAACAAGTCCGTGAACTTAATTCTCTGCTCAAGGTCTCAGATCAAATCAGTTGCTTTCCAACTTGTCTGATTGTAATGCAAGTTTTGCATATCGTTGTGTAGTAAAGCCTCAGATTGTTAAACAAGTCATTGGTCAATCAGCCGTAAAAAGTTGAAGTGCCTACAAATGTTTTTATTTTGCTTAAATAACATATTTTTAAAACTTGTGCAGTAAAATTCCCTTTCAAGATATTAAGGGTAATAATTAACATACACAGCATGTTCGTGTTGAAAACATTTATTTAAAAAATACCCAGTTCCATTACTTTAATCACGTTTGCAGTCTCAGTCATTTCCCCATTATCTGAAGTTTAACCTGATTTAAAAAAAAAATATTGCACACCAGATACATATTAACACTTACAAAAATACTAACTGCATATATTTACAACGAAAACAATATATACATTTCTAAGGCTCCCTGACTCCAAAAAAGCCCCTTCAAGCAGATCCAATAAATTAAGTGAAGTGGTTTTTAAAACACTTTAAACAATTGCGTGTAGTTCAGGCGTGAGGTCTAACAAGCTGCCCTCTGCAGAAGGAACTGCAGTCTAAAGTTGTCGCTCTCTGTGAATTTGTGAAGGTACTGGGTAAATATTTCCTTCGGACGCGCCTCCTCTTTAGGAAAAAATCTGTCTTTGTTTAAAAAAATCGCCGTCTGCAGGTCGAACGCTGCGGTGCCTCTCTCTCCTCGCGGCGGCGCCTTCCTGGCGCCGGGCTGCTGGTCAGGGGAGGAGAGAGGCACCCTGTCCTCCGGCTGCGGTCCTTCACGCCGCCTCGGTGGCGGCCATCTTGTTCCTGACACGCTCGAAGATCTGCAGGACCTTCGCCGTGGGCACGGCGCCCTCCCTCAGGAAGGACAGCTTCCCTGCGAGGCCAGAGGGGAAGGCAAAGCAGCGGGGCTTCAGTTCGTTTCGTCTGGCTAACTAATAACGCAAAGGGTGGGGTGGGGGGGCTCAGAAAGTGGCTGGTCTGAGGCCTGGAGTCCACAAAAAACCTGCTGGTTTTCTTTCCAGCCCAGCCTAAAGGCTTCATTGAGGCCTTAATTGATCTAAGAAGGTGTATGATTGGAAAATTGGCGAGTTCCCCCTCCCCCCATTCGGTAGTTTGCAGCTTTATGGTGCTTGTGACATGCAGCCGTTAAAAGGACGACGAGCCCTGCGTGTCGAAGAGCTGAGAACGGACGAAATCGATCCTGTTATTAAGTCAAGTGAGGGATCAACCCGCACACCTGTGGGACTCCCGCCCCAGCGCTGGGAACCCCTGGGTGAAGGGGAAAGAGAGAGAGAGGAGAAGAGAGGTGGCGCCCAGCAGGGGGCAGTACCTTCGTCGATCTTGGTGCAGATGACCACCGTGGAGGAGACGAGCTCTGTGGAGTCTCCGTCGCACAGGACGCCGTCCAGCTTGTGCCCCAGGCGCCTGCAGGGGCGAGCGGAGACCGGCCGTCAAGTGAGTGGCTCACACACCAGGGCCCCGCGGGTGCCGGCGGGCAGCTCTGGGCTCACATTTGCAGTAAAGCACATGACAGCGAAAACGGCCGCAGGGCTCTAGATGTCGAAGGGGGTGGTGGTACTCACGTGACGACCATGTCGTGGTGCGTGCTGTCGGGCTCCCCGCTGGGGTTGGCGGAGGTGATGGCCAGCGGCCCGGTCATGCTGAGCAGGTGGGTGGTGACGGTCAGGTCAGAGATGCGGATCATGATGGTGTCCTTGGTCCCCACATAGTCGTAGGCTGGGCCCACTCCTGCTCCCCAGGGGGTAAGAGAGAGATTGAGCCGTGTGACTTTGAACAGCAGGGTGCCACACAAAGGCCATAGGGCAAGGAGATTTCAACAGCCTGTATTGTTAGAAAAAGTGTTCTGGGGAACATCTCTTTATATGCCTGCATAAGACCTGGAAGATGGGTTCAAGGGGATAATTAGTTCCTTTGGTGAAAGGAAAGCCAGATGACTCTCTGGCCCATGAGACACGGCCCGTAGAGCACAGCTTTAGTGGCTGCAGGTCTTGGTGGCTATAACGCCCAGCGACACCCCCTTCTCATCGCGTGGTTACACTGTCCCCCTGGTCTGCTCTGCAGCTTGAGCAGACCTCACGCTCTTGCCCAACTTGAATGTGTGCAGTGACTGCGCAGCCATAGGTCTCATGT